AATCAGGGAAAACTGAACAGCAGGTACGTATGGCTACTTTATTAACCTGATATTGAGAAAATGCAAAACAAAATATTCATGGGAGCATAAAAATAGCAATTTAAACTGGATTTAATATCATGATCCAGGTTAGTCAGCTTGTGGCTCAGCTTTTCCAAATGCGTGTCCGCATGAAGAATTTAATGGGTGCAATGGAAGGTGGATCTATACCTGCCCTTGAAAATCTTCAAGAGTCACTTAAATCCGAACAACAGGTTCAGAAATATCCTTGTTCTATTGTCTATAAATAAGTTTTTATATGATCTTGAATTCTCCAATTTGGGCATTTTGAACTTGAGACCTCTTATTAAGATACGGAATATAAAAGTATACTGATATATGTTATTCAGATATAAAGGTATATTGATGTACAAGTACATATAAATGATCCATAGTCATCTTCTAATCCTGAGAATAGAGCAAGTGATATTATTTTTATGATAAATAATAATAAAATATAAATATACTTTTGTCTCTCAGCAACTCATTATTAAAAAAAAAAAGGTAAATTTTTTTTTTAAAAAAGCACTTGATGTGAGTTATATTCTGAGAGCTGCTTCAGTACTTGCATGAAAACACAGCTTTGGTTGCTTAGTATTCATGAAATTGCAAACCCCTATTCTGCATGCTCATGTGCTGTTTTTATATCCCTCAGTTGCTTTTATAAACATTAAATACCTAATTTTCTAGTTTGGATAAAAATAAGTGTTTATAAAGATAGACAACATATTCCATTTAATTCATTACATATTTTGTTGTGGTAATAAAAACAACTCAAGTTATGTTGAATTGGCAGAAAAAGAAACAGTTTAAAAATTATATGGCATATGGCTCCTTTGGAAAGCAAAGATGATTGACGACATATGTAATGAGTGTATTTGTATGTTTTGTTAGGCATTAAAAAAGATATCAACGGAATTCTATGTATGTCTAATTGGTATGGTCTCTCTTTTATGATAGGCTCCACCTGGAACTGCAAGGAGAAAGAGAAGATCAGCGTCAAGAAAGCAATATGCAGATTCAGGTTCAGCCAGACCAAGTCCTCGTGGCTTTGGTTCAAGTAACTGATTGGAAATTTAGCCTTTAGAAATGCTAAACACAAAACAATGCCAAAACGCATATCAGCATTTACCACTAAGGTGTAACCTTGAAATTCTGCTTGCAAGTGATTCTTGAACTGTCAACTCCAACCGCATGAATTTCCGCCTTTGCCTGTTGATGTACTATTCTACAATTCCTCTGTTCTGATATGTCCGGAAACAGATGATGTGTTATACCACATATGTAATTTTTGACAGTGAAGAATTTAGAAACAAGTTAAGGAAAGTTCTTGGCACACTTCTGAAATCTTGGTAAAACTGGAATATCAATGTACATTTACAATGAGAAAGACCAGTGTTTCTTTTATGTACAAATTTCAAACATGCTTAGCAAATCAGACCATTACTCTGCTTACTGCTCTGTGACTGTAACTGGTGGTTTTACGGTGTGCAATGGTACTTCAATATCTGTTATTTTTAATTAATTAGGTTGTATTATCAGATAATTTTATAATCCTCGCCCACCTTCATCTCAATGTCTACTTTAATAAATCTAATGTTTATAAATACATAATCAAATATTAAATGGGTAAAATTGTGCATTGACATTTGACAAATATATTGCAAATAAAAAACAATTACGTAGTACATACAAGACAATAACCTCTCCTTCGTTTATTTTTTATTTTTTATTTTATTTTATTGAAAAAAAATGGGAGCCAACAATTACAAGACACATGGATCAAATGACATGTTTAAACATAGAATTTTTAATGGTTGCACAAAAAAAAGACTTTAAATTTAGTAAAAAAAAATCCCAAGTAATAGTGTTTATGGCTAGGGTCGTTAGAGACAAATTCGTAGAAACCTTGTTTTGCAAGGCAATAAGGAGGATTTATAAAATTTGCATATTTACAATTTTACATGTATTGTTTTCACTAATCCAAAAAGTTTATATTCTGTTTAATCACAAATTTCATAAAATCATTTCAAAATAGCAAAACTAAATAAAAAGAATTGAATCAAGAATATGGCAAATGAGGAAACATTAGCTGATGCAATGAATAATGATGCAACATATCCGACTACGGATGTAGACGGGGAACTGAATCCTGGCAATAACACGGAATTCGAAGTTGATTCTATGCCCTCTAATATGGCCAAGGTATAATTGAACTTTTTATAATCAGTATCGTGTGATATGTTTTTTTATATTGATACTATTAAGAGAATAATATATAATATAGCATGGTTTATGTTAAGATACAGAGTATTTTTTCGCGAATATATATATGTGAGATTTAGGATTATAATAGTATATCTTTTAATATTCATCGTGTTTTGTGTGTGGTTGGCCACACTGTGTGGCCAGCTAACACACGAGCCACTCTTGACTAGGTAATTCTGATGATCGAGAATGAAAACCACATATTTGTCTGAATTGTATAAATTAAATTTATCAAAAAGTTAAAATAAGTTGAATAAAACAAAGTCAACAGACTTTTTTTTTTTATTCAAATGAGGCAAAGCCAAGAAGAAGAAACAAACAACAACAAAGCAACAAACAAACAAACAAGAAACAAAGAAAAAACTACGAAGATACTAGGCGTGGGATTGTGGGAAAGCCACTCCCCTAACTATACATGTATTACGGTATGAAATCGATCAAGTGGTAAATGATTTGATTTAGGCTCGTTATGAATAGTACTTTCTCCGTTTCTTTTTAGTTGACACTTTTCTTTAGTCACATTTGCCAATGCGCAAATTCAACTGTTAATATCTTTAATTACCGATTATTAAAAATTATAAAAAGTTGATATTTTGAAAATAAACATTATGACGAATCTAATAAGACCTCATGACAATATTTTTCATTACGTATAAATCACAAAACACGGTCAAAGGGAAGTGTATGAATAGTGCTAAAGTCAAAACGTGTCAACTAAAAAAAACGGAAGTAATATGATTGTAAACCATAAAAATTCAAACCTGTAATATATAAATAAAGAGGTAGAAAATTATACGGGAACAATTATTTCATTGATAATTTATGGGTTACAACTCTCGTAGATCTTTTGATTCCACTCTCCAAAGGGTTATAGGTTACAACTCTCGTAGATCTCTTGATTCCTCTCTCCAGGGGGCTTATTTCATACTAAGACCTACAATGTTTGGTAGTAGGGAGGAGATGGGGTCTTTGTAACTTGTTTCATCTGAGCCTCATAAAACCCTAGAAACAAGTTTCTTTATATAGAGAGTAGTAGAGTACAAGAGAATTATAAAATATTCTACGAGATCTTGAAGATAAATATCTTATATTTTTTTTATATATTATTACCTTATTTACATATATCTGACACCTAATAATTAACAAAATTTCGGTGTCAACAATGATATAAATTAATTTTGAAAATCTATTTATTATGTATAAATTAGGGTGGCCTGGGGTAAATACAAGTATTAGATATTATTACATTACGATTGAGTTATACGAGTAATATAATATTGTCATATGGTTTCAAAATAATATAATAGTGACTTATTGACTTATTTGATGTCATTGAAGGATTTAACAAAAGCAAACAAGGCCCAAGGAAAGAAGAAATGTGCAAAGAATGATCCAATGCAACCAATGAAAACAACCATCATAGTATCTGGGGTGATCTTGATTTTGGCAGGGGCCATCTTTGCAATTAACAAGAAGATTAGAGAGAAATAAATTAAAAGGCAATCACAACAGAATTCAAGTTATATATACATCAATTTTGTCTTTAATTTTTAGATTTTTACATTAGTAATTATTATTGTTATGTAGTGTATACTTTACTCTAGAACTATTTTTAAATCTAGATATTCTTTATATTTCATCCGAAAATAATTTTTACTTGTTACAACATCAGAGAGGTTGAATGTAATCTCACCCAGTTTAAATTATCTAGCTAATATAATTTTTTATGACCATAATAATTTAACATCTTGTCTATTCGATATTCGTATTATATATGTTTATCTGAAAGTTGTGAGTGAACAAGCTTAATTATGCAAAGCAAAGTTCTGAGCTTAAACTGTGTTAATATGTCCACATAATGTCTTAGTCAGTATTAAATAAATTAGTTATACTCACACTAATACATGGAAATTAGAAATTGGTGTAAATTGATTGAATGCAAATTCTTACACCAGACATTTTGACAGTCAAACCAAATTTACATCGGTCAAGGATCTGTTCTCCATATACACTTAATATAAACTTAAACCTTTGATCTTAAAACCGGGTTGGGAGGTTACAATCCAAAACTCTTATAGAGAATCAAATCGTATTGGTTAAGCTAACTATGGCATGGGACAGACCTCGAAGTTGGTCTTGCTTGAGGCGGCCTCAAAGGCCTTCAACCCGTTTGAAAATAGGCATTGAGATGAAACCCTATTTTTTTTTTAAAAAAAACCTGTGCTACCTATATCAATATTATCTATAAACAACATTACAATGTGCCTCCTATAAGCATAGCAAAAAACGTATCCTAACTCCTAACTCGCCAATATTTACTTTGATTTGGAAACCCAAATATTTAACCCCGAAAGTACCTCATAAAATTAGATCAGGATCTTCCATTTTCTTCCAGTGACATTTTCTTAAGCCAATCACCAATTGCTTCAAGAGCTTCGAAATACAATTGCTCCAGAAACAAGAATACAGTGGTTGGCCAAGAATGAGGCGTTGAGGGGGTAGCCTGTCCTTCCAGTGCATAGCAGTCTTCTGGATCTAGTTCATATGACAAGATTAGCTGATGATTGCAAGTCATGGGAATTATTAGTTAGCATTGAACGGTCAACCTCTCGCAGCCTACCAGCTTCTAGAAGGAGTACTCTATCAGCCATCAGAACTGTTTCAAGCCGGTGAGCAATGACCAAAACCTGCAAAAACAATCATTAGGTTTTAAAATAATCTCATTGAAAATGGAAAATAAAGACTGATATTATTATATCAGATTCCACATGAAATCAGTTCAACCACATTTACTCAGATGTTCTAGAAATTACCTTGTTAGCTGCATGGGAGTTTACACAAATGGAACTAAGCGCAAATTACTGGTGACAAGCTAACAACTTTGCAGAACAATTTATCATTTCATTATTTTCATATATTTTAACTATGATTAAATCGACAATATAGGAAAACATTTGCGGATAACCAGAATATTCAGCACTACCATCTAGCTAATCACACTCCAGCACTACTGCACTACTATGAAGCTCTTGCATTTGATCCTTCCAACAGTCAACCTAATTCGGACTAGTAGATGTAATAGACTAGCAATCTGATTTGTATATTTATATAAATAAGCAGAAATTTAAGGCTGAAAGCTTGAAATTATATTAAACCTGCTGATGCTCTTACAAAAGGTAGTAGGTTTTGCCTACAAATCTCATATTAGTGACTTTAGGTCCCAACTAGCAAAACAGTGAATTGAGGTCACAATTATCCCAAGGATTCACTCCAAAATTCTGCATAACTCCTCCTTTTCCCCCTCTCTCTTTTTATACTAAAACTAAGGACTATAAGACTATCAACCTAATAAAGTAATAACACTAGACTACCCATATAACCATATTGCCCCTCCTTAGGTTAGTTCATTGCAGTAGAAGGATAAGATAGCTGATTGCCATCAGTCCCATCACCTCAAGCACATGAGATCTCGCTATTGATTTTTTCATCAATAAAACATAAACATATGAAAAGTTATATACTTGTACATTATAAATCCCACAAAGCCATGCAAGGCTTAAGAAAACTCAAGATGAAAATCATGGTAAGCACCTACTTGGCATGACCTGATGGTATTTACAATTTGTGGACCACACAAAGAATATACCATATTCCTATTAGCAGCAGATGCAGATTGATTTCTCCTTAACTGGTAAGGAGAAGGTCAATATACATAAAAAAATCCTCTTAATTGTAGAGGCGGTGCTTCTGGCAGACCCTAATTAAAGATGCACCAACATGGGGCAACAGGGCATCTAATAGACCACTGAGTCTCCAAAGCTGAAAAAGTACCACTAAAAGCAATTCTTTTTCTAAGAAGCTCGAAGAAAAAACAGTCGTGAACATTATCAAAGTTCCTAAGTGCATATGGATTTCTAGGGTCTAGGTGGTAGCACAGAAATCAAACCAGTAACAGCAGCTTGGTTACTTAGCTCACTATGCAAAGCACAACCTTGCACCTATCAACCTATCTACTAAGAGCATCAGTATTACACACAGCACATAGCACAAACAACATACAAAAGCTAATGAGTCAGCCAAATAGACAAGTAAGTCTTGAGGGGCCCTTCTTTTTCATCATAGTTACAGGCTTGCAACCACATGCACAGAAAAAAATTGGATATAAAGACAAAAGAAGAGAAGTAAAGAGGCAAGTGTAAAAATTTGAAATTTGAATCAAAATATATTTGTTTGTAATCTTAGATTGTGTTCAGGACCCAGCACAGCTTAAATTGATTGGAGCAATTGTACAATGATGAGATACAGGACTTTTCTCAAGTGAAATAGCAAGGTATCGAAGAAAGATACAGGAAGCCAATTCAATGCCAAAACGAAATATATAGCATGATGAAAATTAAACAACAAAAAGTTCAATGAGGATGAGGGAAAGAGGGGGGGGGGTGCAAAAAAGATACTATATGAAGCACAAGTCCTCACAGTATGATTTTTCATCACATGCTCCACAGCTTGTCTCACCAATAGCTCAGATCTGCTATCCAAGGCAGAAGTTGCTTCATCCATAATCAAAATTGAGGACTTCTGATAAATTGCTCTTGCTATTGTAAGCCTGCATAGGAGCAACAACAAATGAGCTATCAATGTTAACCAAAGAATAATCCTAGACTACAAATATGATGGGTTGCATTTGTCTTTTATCAATGACAAGACATAAAACAATATAGAAGCTGGAAAGAAATAAATTGTTATAGTTTGTCCCAGACTCAGCCCCCTTTCCCCCAGATTATTTGCCCCATACAATATATTACCTCCAATTTCTTTTTCTTTTTTTAATTTATTTATTTGTTTATTTATTCTACTTTGTAAATACGAAAAAGAAGGCATGTGTAAGAAAAAGGTGGATAAAGTAGGAGAGATGGAGTAAAAAGATGGGTGAGCGTAAGAAACAGGTAGATAACATACGAAAAGAGCATGTAAAGATAGTAAAGGGTGTTTGTCAAAAATGTAATAAAACAGACGTGAGTGGAACAGGAAAAAATGGGGGGGGGGGGGGAGACATAAACGGAAAGTGAGTAGAACAAATAAATATATAGATAAATAAAACAGAAGTAGAATAATACAAAACCCACTAGCATCATAAGCCCTCAAACCCCAAAAAAAAAGCTTTTAAATCTACATCATATCAAATAAAACAAAATCAGATGATTTACATACGAATTGGTGTTATCTATGAAGGACAAAACTTGGAACATATTTCTTCTTATTATGCTATCTGAAATCAGTTTGACTGGTGTAACAAACATAAAATCACAATAGTTATGGACAAAATACTTTCAATGATAAGGCCTAGTAATATGCTACTGATTGGTGGTCAGTGGTTGTTGTGTCAAGCTAAACTTTTGATTTGCACAACTAAAGCCTAGAATGGGATAAGGTCTGGTTTCACCTGTTTTTTTCACTTTAAATTTAACAGAAAGCAAAGAATTAGCATCAGCAATTTTCAGAATTATTTACTATGGACCAAATCTCAAGTACACTGTTCTTAATTTTTATTTGTGGTATTCAGTTAGCCAACCCCTTTTAGATTAAGGGTCTTAAAGAACTAAATTCTCTTCATCCAGAAGGATATAGTTGCTTACATTAGCGTATGACCTACAATCTTAACATCAGCAGAATGCCAGGAGCCAATTCAGAGGATATGGGGTACAGTTAGTGTTAAGTTATATAAATGAAGTATTAATTTCCATTTCATTTTTCGTCATAGACTTATCATGAAGTGATAATCATTTAAATAATAGCCACAAAGACAATTATATCATTCTTGGACTAACCTTTGCTTTTGCCCCCCACTTAATATTGAGCCTCGTGAACCAATATAAGTCTCATACCCTCTAGGAAGCAAATTGATAAATTCATCAGCATTAGCAGTTTTTGCAGCTAGCTCAACTTTCTCCAGGTAAATTCCTCTCATAAGATCTTTATAGCCAATATTCTCAGCAACTGTCCCTGAAAACAGCATCTAGTACTCCAGCAAAATGGAAAGAAAATACATTTTTAATCAGAAAATATCTCCAAGGAACAAACCATTTTCATCACAGAGATAACCTCATACAAGACACAAAATAGAGGGTTTTTTCTCTGATAAAAGACCAGGAATTTGTGTTCAAAGTTAGAAGTTAGGCAAAGGAGGAAACAAGGTCCCAATTCCCAACTAACGATCAGATTCAGATCCATTGCAGTATTAATTATTTAGGGCACAACACCAGATATTTAAAAAATAAAAAAATAATAAAATATATATATATATATATATATATAAATAAAAACAATTTCGTTTGATACGAGGATCAATCTGAAAAGTCTCCAATCGGAGGTCCAAAGCATTATGGAGTTAGATGAGAAGTAAACTAAGCAGTGGTCAGCAACTCAGCAAAGGCATCTAGGTTAAATCAAGTATCATATAAGCCAACAGAAAGTGAGATTGTCAGTTATTGGTTCATGACATACAACCTACCTGAGTGTAACACATTACTCATTTAATTTATACACTGGTACATAGTCAAAAGTTAAACTAACCCATCATAATTTATACCAATTTTCTAACTGCAACATGTAAAAAAAAAATAAAGGGAGAAATTGGTAATCAATGGTATTGTACTCACAATATCTTGGGACACTAAAGCAACATGTCTCCGTAAACTTTCCAGCTGAAAACATTGAATATTGAGTCCATCAATTAATATACAACCTACCAAACAGAGAAGCAAACAAATAATATCTCTAGTTAGACCACAGCATAAGCCTCCAAAATCAATAGTAAAACTTAATAGAATTTGTGATGTGAGGATATGTGCCCTTTTAGGAGGAGAGGAGAGCCTGTTGTGACTCACCATGCAAGGGATCATAGAGGCGAAGAAGAAGTTTAGCCAACGTTGTTTTCCCTCCTCCAGATGGGCCCACAATAGCAACTATTTCTCCAGCTTTAATGTGGAGGTCAACTCCATTCAAGACAAGGGGTAAACCATCTTTATATCGAAATGATATATCACAAAACTTCACTTCACCTTTGACGGAATTTATATGAATAGCATCCACCCTCTCTATCACCTATATATTAAAGAAATTAAGAACATCATTGAAAAGCTAGGTCAGTTATGACTCGTATGATTGCCCTCCAGAAATACAAACTGTAAAGGCATGATATCAATAGTTGATGTTAGAATGCATAAGATATATATTGAAATGAAATGAGCACAGTATTAAATCTCAAAGGCATGGCGATTTGGCACAATCAAGTAGTAAAATGTACAACAACAGAAGTTCATAGCCTTTACATAATTAAAGTCTATTATATCATATTGCTCGCATTGAAACCATCTGAACACCATAGAATTCGGAAATTAGCCCTTATACCATTGAGCTCAATTTATATAAAAGTACGCTTTTCAAGTAGTTTTTGATACCTCGATCTACCATCTTTTGTCACATTCTCATGTTATACTAGCATTTCAAATTTAGAATCTGCATTCAGAGGTTAAGTCTAGTCACTTCAAATATCAAAACCTTTTATTAAAGATCTTAGTAATTTTAATTTGAGAAATTATCAGTATAATGTAACTCAATGTGAAATTCCTCATAGTGGGGGTGGTATCCAGTATCTAGGGCTGTTCATCAGTCCAAGACCAGACCGGACCGAAGACCGAAAATTAGAATTTTAAGAACCGAAGGCCGGACCGATTAAGCTAGGACCAAACCCGGACCGGACTGCTTTGGACTAAGCATTTTTTTTAAAAGAATTCTAATTTTTTTTAATAATTTTATGGAAAACTCGAAAAAAGTAAAGGAAAATCTACACTTTAACGCCTTTTTTTGTATATTTAGTACAAAAAAGCTCATAAATTTAAAGTTTTCTAAGCTTATTAAGGATAATTTTAACCATTATTTAAGGTTTCACACATATTTTTAATAAAAAAATCGGTCCGGTCCAAGACCGGTTTTTATGGGGTTTTGGACCGGACCGGACCGAAGACCGGAAAAATAAATTTCTAGACCCGAAGACCGGACCGATTAATTCGGTCCTGTCCGGTCCGAGGTGGTCCGATCCATTTTTTCGGTCCGGACCGATTTATGAACACCCCTACCAGTATCCACAAAGCTGCCACTTATCCAGCGATACTCACTCCAACTTAGATTGATGCCACCCTTCCAGCTAGTACAATTTTGCAAGAAAAAACTTCAAAGAAAGATGGAATCAAATAGTAAAAGGTAGATGTTACTATCCTCTATCTGATATGTCTATTTGTGGTGGCCTAGCTAGTAGAAGAGTCAAGTTTCGTAGACAAATATGTAGTTGAAGGGAATAAACTGGTAAGGAGATTTCCATTTTTACAAAATTATGTCATCTATAAACTCCATAGTCCCAGGAAAAAAGAAAAAAAAGATATCTTGAACCAAGCATGGATTCGGGGAATGATGAGTACGGTTTTACAGAAACAAGAAGAAACGAACCAACAAGAAAGAAAAAAAATTCCAATCAGAAACAAGTTAGGATGAACAATATAGCTTGGCATATATTCATACTTAGATATTTAATCCATGAGAGAAGCTAGGATAAGTTTCAGTAATTAGTTAATGTCTGGATTTCCATTAAATAAAAAAAAATTCCCACTTCAAGATGGGGCAACAAAACCCTACAATCCTACATATCTCGTTTACATGAAACTCAACACTTCAACTTCTAGATAGTAAGAAGCATTATTAAAAAGATATATCCACGCCCCAAGCCAGAGGGGGGAAAACCAATCTGCCCACTACTTACCCGAGGGGTGAATCTAGTAAGATCAAACAAACGCTCAATAGCTGGCTCTCCTTGCTTCAACTCATTGTATGCTTTTCCAACACCCTGCAAAATAATCATTTTTCAGTTTGACAACTTAAAACAGCACCTTATTGTGTGATGGGAGAACAAAAAAATAAAATAAACACAGGGTTACATAAGAAACCTCATGAGAGTTTTATTGAATGGTTATAACATTCTAGTCTCTTTTTGTTAGTGAGTCAATAATTCAATTTCATATCAAGATCTCCATAAAGTGGCTACCTGAGACATTAATTCTTACAAGAAACAATATTTATCTCTGCCTTCCACTTAATAGATTTGTTTCTAAGGTCAACAAGAGGAGTATTTTTTTTATAAAAAAAATAATTGTGGTTGCTTGTTGATGGGGCAGGGGAGGGTCAGAGAGCTAAGACCAAACTATTACCTGAATAGGGTCAACTAAGAAGGCCAAGGAAGTCAAAAACGTGATCAAGCCGCAAGTGTTGAAGAATCCCTTGGAGAAAAAGAGCGACCCAGCCAAAAAGATGAGCAAAGCTCCAAAATAAACAGCTTGCACAATTTGAGGAATGAGGGCCTTCATTTTCTTCTTTTTTAACTGTCGGTTCAGGTCAGCATGAGCAAGCTGTTTGAACCTAACACTTTCGGTCCACTCCATATTGCTAGCTTTAACAAAAAGGATTGAGGGGAGGACCTGATCAACACATTAGTCTGCATTGGCCAGAAAACTGCTAGAAAGGTTAAAACTGCATTAAAACATTTCTAGGGAGTAAAAAAATTCCTTTTTCCTCCACACCAAAGGTTTCGATTATGCACCAAAAATGTGGTCAAGTGAAAAATAAATAAATAAATAAAATTAAAATTACAAATCATCCAAGATGCAAAAAATGAAATTGTTATACTCCAATAGGTACCTAAACAAACCTCATTCAAGTAAGCGGAAAGAGCAGCAATACTCTGATGTGCCTTCCTTGAAATTCTTTGAAGCCTTGCACCAAGTAAAGTAATGGAAAGTGCCACAGAAGGAATAACCTTTATATACACAATACTCTAAGTCATTTAGTAGCAGTTCAAAAAAAATGAAAAGAAAATAAAAATTGGGTTTAGGTCAGTTATTTCTTACCAAGGCAGATATCATTGACAGAACAGGGCTGATGACTAACATCTGTGCTGCCATAGCCGATAACTGGAGAGTGCAAGGAACTATAGTCTGTCATAAGAATCAACAAAAGCAGTTATAAGAAATCCAAACTCAAATTGAATTACTTTCATTGCAAAAGTTTGGTTCAAACTATGTACAGTTACACCCAAACAAGTGCCTCGATGCAAGCGTTCAACTCAACGGCATCATATTGTACAAATGCAGATAATCCCATTCCAAAAGTTCCATATACAAATTTACAAAAGCTCATTTACACAAATCTTCTTTGCATTTCTATCTTTTCTTCCAAAAATTCCTAAATCATGTCAAATTTTAATGCTCGAAATTAATACAAGCATTGGGATTCATGAGCAATTTGCATTTAAACATTTCCAGCAATCACCATAAACACTTCCTGACAATTCCAAGCAAAACTAAATTCAAATAGGAGAAAATATCAAAAGATAAATTCCAACTCACATTTAAAAGAGCAAATATTGTTTCAGCAACATCAGAAGCCTCGGAAGTGATCCGGTGCGAGATATCCCCAGAAGAAACAACAACACCATGATCATCGCCGCCTTCGAAAAACCCTAAATCTCTCTCCAAAACCCTCTGAAAAACATACACCATAATCTTATAAGCAGAATTGAACGCCGCCTCCCACAAGAACGCCTGTTGCAAGTAATTCGCAACCAATCGAACAACAAAGTATGAAGCAAGTATAGCAACATCGTTGTTAATCGAACAAAAATCACCCAAAATTAGGGAAAATCTCCCAGCTTTAGGAACAATTTTGGAGAGAAAAAACACAGAAATTGCGCTGCAAGTCCAACCTTGAAGGATTAACCTCCATTCCGATTGAATATAGGGTTTGATTGATTGGAAAGATGAGATTGAAGAGGAGAGCGAATAAGCGGATGATGGAATTGAAGAGAATTTAAGGGAAATTGAGGGTTTAAATGAAGATTTAGGGGGGAATTTGAGGGAAAAGTAGAAATTGTTGGTATGATTTGGGGTTTTAGGGTTTGAATTGATTTGAAGAAAGGGAGATGGAAAACTATGAAGTTGAGTAAGAGACATTGTGAAGCAGAAAACTAAATTTAGAAGATTTCAAAGTGGTTGATAGCCATTTTTAGTGGAACTTCTCGCGCCACTTTTTTCACTCAAGCAAGTTGAATGTACGGCTATTTCACCAAATGCTATAATCAATTGCGAAATTCACCAAATGTCATAAGCCTTTCCCAAATTCACCAAATGTCACTGACAAATAGAACATTGACACCCCGTGCCATTAATGAGGTCTGGATGTTAGTTGACTGTAAGTGTCCGTTAGTTGACCGTTAATTGACCCCGCCACTTGCTACGTGTCACCTTCTGATTAGTCCGTTTGTTAAAAAAAAAAAAAACCCTTGAAACCACCCTAGCCACCACCCCTTCAACCACCCGCTCCCTGCCACCAAACCCCAAAACCCTACCGCCGGCGACCTGCACCCTCACCGACAAGCGCGCCGGCGGCCGCTGAAGCAACGCTCCCCCCTCCCCTCCTCTTTCGCTATTTTGCCTGGACTTCAATGGGAATAACTCATGTTTCACACCCCCACCAACCATGCGCCATTATCACCGTTCATCACGAAGTCGATCAAGATCAATGGCCCAAAACCATCAATCCATGCGCACGCACCAAAATTCATCATCGTCACCGAAGTATGTAGTGCCTAAATGGTGTATTAGTGGGTTCGTCACCACGAATCTCGAGAGCACGGCATGAGCGCACCATCCGGGTTTCAATTGGGGTTCAAGATTGAAGATGTTCTTTACCAAATTGTTGCAATTAAATCCCGGAATTGTAGTAATTGGTTGCCGAATATCTGTTTGTGGTAGGCGAACGGGTGATTGCAGGCTGTAGAGGTGCGATTGGTGGCGGGTGGTGAATTGCAGTGGCTGAACTGGTGGCTGTTTGTTGATGTTGTTGTTACGGGTTGTTGGCAGGCGCGACGGGGGAAGAGGAGGGGAAAGGGAGGGGGGCCGGCGGCTACCGGCACGCCTGGCGATGCGAGTCCCGGCGGTAGAGGTTCTGGGACCGGCGGCATGGCTGGGATAGTGGCTGCTGGGGTGGTGGGTGGGGTTTAGGGTTTTCCGTTTTTTATTTTTTAATTTTTTTTTGGTTTTTATTTTTTTTTAATAAAAAAAATTGTTTTTAAAAAAACAGACCAATCAGAAGGTGACACGTGGCAAATGGTGGTGTCAACTAACGGCCAACTAACGTCCAGACCTCATTAATGGAACAGGGTGTCAATGTGCTATTTGTAAGTGGCATTTGGTGTATTTAGAAAAGGCTTATGGCATTTGGTGAATTTCACAATTGCTCAGTGGCATTTGGTGAAATAGCCGTTGAATGTATTTGAAAATTAGTCAAGAATCACGATGGTTTTTTTTTTCCTTCCAAAAATCTGTTTTTCTTGTACTATTGTTCATGTACAATGCTGCCGTGTAATTACCATATACTCCCTCCGTTTTTAATTACTTCATTTCTATATGTGCGGAGTTTTAGGAGAAATTGAAACAGTAATAAAATATGGAGGTAGTGGGATTGATGGAAGAATAATAAATTGTAAAAAGCAAAAGTAGTTGGGTCCACTAGTTGAGAGAAATAAATTAATTGGAGGAGAGAGAATCTAATATTAATAAAATATGAATTAAATAATGTCAAAACTTTCTAAATAAGGAAATGGAGCAAGTAATTAAAAACGGCCGGAAATGAAAAGTGAAGCAAGTAATTAAAAACGAAGGGAGTAATATTATAAAACTAGTCTTTTATACATGCAATGCGTGTGTGAAATTTAGAATGTGTATTAATAACATTAATTGGATGTACCCTAACTTATGGATAATAACGTTCTAAGTTTTTTAAAAAAAGATTGGTAAAAGGATCTGTTTCGGGGTTTTTCTAGTCCCTTGGGGGAGTTACGTCACTAACTCTAGATTCTAGTAGTCTGTACCTGCAAAATAACAGAAGCTCCGATTGGTCGGAGTTCCGCCTCAGACGATCAAGTTAGTACATATTCGGAGTAAAAAGGGTGCGGAAAAGTAAATATCTTCTCAGCTTCCGAGATTAGGTGTTTCTCTCTTTTCGAGAGTAATAAACGATGCAATGATAGAACGTGCCCCCAAAATAGGGGGGGGGGATCTCCTTATTTATAGGGTCATTGGGATTTGTGCCCTTGTCCTAGGTTACGGAAACCTAGGAATGATTGGGTTGCGCCATTTTACGGCTTTCTAGGGATTTGGGCCTTGAAGGCCGCCATTTCCTTTGGGGTATTTGCCTGCCACGTGTCGAGCCTTGGTTGGTCCACTTTGGGCTCTTCCTAGGGTGACACGTGTCACGCTTTGAGAGGTCCACGTGGTAGGGTAAAAATACCCGAAACATTTGCCCCTCACAAGGGTGACGTGGTGTGCCACGTGGCGCCTGTGACATGTGTCACGCATGCATTGGTGCATATAGTTTATACCGTTTATCTGGAGTAAAACTAGGGTTTAGGATCCTAAATTTTTACCCCTCTATATATAGTCTTTCACCCCCCTCCTCATTTCGCATGTTTACGAAAAAAAGTCTTTGGGAGAGAATCTTTGACTTTGAGAGAATTTGTCTTTTCTGAGAAAAGCACCAGCCGCCTGCACTTTGTCCGTCTGTGCTTACAGCCGTCCAAGACCTTTTTTCAAGCGCCTTTAGTATCTTCCGACTTAATGTAACCGCCTGCTTTTTTCTCTTTTTATTTTAATTTTTGCTTCTTTTCTTTTGAAAATGGTTTCCCAAATGCGCACGGCACGACCTAGATTAGCCATCAGCCGGTCACCGGGGACGGCTGAATCTAGAACTAGGAATGCCAACTGCTACTTCTTGGACTCCCCCTTACGAACTTCCCCGAAACCGACCGTCTCTGTGTCTGTGCAGGACACTATGGCCAGAACCAAACAAACAACTAGGAGGCAAAATCAAGACGGCTCCTTTAGGGCGCTTATCTGCGATATTTCTGATATGTCGTCTGGCACTCCATGTAACACCCCCAAATCTCCCTCTACGGAATATGTAGAAAATACGTATAAATACCGTAGAGATAGACTTGGGCATATTACCGCCGCGTAATAACGCAAGGCTTATATTTCAAAATACTTTTGCAGCGGAAATTCTTTATTCATTATTAATAGTACTTCAAATAAAACTGTTCATAAGTTATGACACAAAAACAACTCAAACTTTTCCTAAGCTAGGTGAAATTCCCGTGGACTCCCATATGCATCAATCAACTTCCACCTGAAAAAGTTCACCTGCTTACCATTATGGTAAACAGGGCAAAGCCAAAACCAAAGCACGTATTAGCAAATTATGCTAAGTAGATTTTGTTTGAGATAAGTAAAACATTAATTTAAATCACGTACATTAAATTCCAATAATTCCAACACATTATTCTTTCCAATATCATACTCATGCAAGTACTTTTACAGTTCAATTCTTTCAAGACAAGTTTAAAACTCAATCGATTACATTTCAAAATCAATTCCTCACTAAGTGTGCACACCCCCCGAGTGGTTTACTTTATGAACAAAGGCCAATCTTGAGGAAAGACTAGGTCATGCAAAGTCCATAACCTTCGCTAATCCATTCCCTAAGTGTGATTCATAACATATCGATTGATTTGCTTAAAAGCACCTTTTAAAATCCGTTATACTTGAATAACAATAAACTTGTAAATTGTTTTTAATCCAATCCTTTTTAATAATTTCAATCACGATTCAAAGTCTCTTTTATTTTAATCAAAATCATTAATTTCAATCCATCATACAACATAATTTCATACGGAACGTAATAACATAATTTCATACGGAACATAAAATATAATTTCATACGGAACATAATAAAATATAATTTCATAAGGGTTGTATTAAAACATAATTTCATAGTCAACTTTCGAAGGTATCAAACCACATAACGTACCTTGATCGTAACACGAGCGATTCACACAATTACTTTACTTAATCACAAACACCCTACACATTATTATAACCTTAATTAATATAAGGCTATCAAATAAACACAACAACTTAACCAAACTACCCTATATGTGCACGAATTAATTATAAAGTATCATTATATTAAAATAATTTTCAGTTTTTATAATTTAAATAATTTTTCTGTTTTTATACTATAATTTATGCAAGAAATAATTTATATGAAAATGCTTAGTAATGTAAAATAAGATTAGGAGAAAGGAGAAATTGAAGGATGGAGATGGAACCAAAGAAAGGGAGGAGCAAGGGTGGCCGACAGTGAGGTGGCGGCTGCTGGTGGTCGCTGGCGGTAGCAGGTGGTCGCCGGTGAGGGTGGTCGCCGGTGATGGTGGTGGCCAGAAATTGGGGAGGAAAAAGAAGAGGAAAACCGTGAGGGAGAGAGATTTCTTGGGGTTTTAATGTGTGTCTTGGGGTGTTTGGAAGAGGGGTATTTATATGTGTTTAGATGATGGGTTTATAGCAATTTAGGGTTGTATAATTTATGGTAATTTCAAAGAATAGAAATTAGGGTTTTAAATGTATGGAAGAATATTAGATTTTATTTGGTCATGAAATTTTGTTTAGTAAGTTTTGAGCTTGGAGTGCAAGTATAGAATAAGATTAAATAAATTTTAGATTTAAGAGTAGAAATAAGGAATTTTAAAGGATTTTTAATTTTAATAAAATAAATTAAAATCATTTAGAAAATTCATGAGTGGCCGAAAATATTGAGCTCAATATTGCTCAATAATTTCGGTCCCTCTATGTTAATTTATGGATTTTGTAAAATAATTTTTATGCCTAAAATTAATAATCCAATAAAATTTATTTTGTGAAAATTAATAATTAGAAGAATAAAATTAGATTTTTATTAAATAAATTGGGGTGGCCGAAAATATTGACTTATAATAATTAATTAAATCAAATTTTTATTATATAAAATCCGAAAATTAATTTATAAATATATATTTCATGAAAATAATTAATTTGGAAAGATATTAAAACAATTTAGATTTTTATTATATGAAATCCAAAAATACAATTTAATTAATTTATTTTAACCGAATTAATATAACTTCAGTTTAGCAATTTAATTTTTTGAGAAATCAAAAATACTATTTATAACATAGGTATAAAATAGTTTCATTTATTGGATTATCCATTTTAATTAGTTTTGTAAAATAATAAGACAAATGATTTAGGTGCCAAAATTTAAATATCATTTTGGCTCCAAAACTAAAATACTCTTTAGAAAAATAATTAATTTAGAAAAATACATCAAAATACGAGACTAAAATACTCTTTAATTTAGAAAATACCTTTCAAAAATACGGGGTATTACACTCCAAGTACCCCTAGTGATTCGATTTTAAAAGAATCAGGGGAGGAGTTAAGAGATGATGCCTCTGGCTCTGTTCATCAGGCCTCAGGAGAGGAGTTAAGGAAGATATCCCATGCCATGTTCATCAGGCCTCTCATTCGGACACAAGGTCCGACAGTTCTGACGACGAACCAGAGCCATCTACTTCTGACAGAGTCTCATTGGGCTTTGATGAAGAGCTCTCCCGGCTGGAG